CAATCTTCTTTCTATCTACTCAGCGTGCGCGCAGCTAGCCACAGCAAAACACAATCTTTTTTGCATCGTAGATAGAGTCGTCCCCCTCGGATCCGTAGGCAAAATCTACGGAATTCGGTACAGTTTCTACGGATTTTTTTCCTCAGTGTACGTCTTTCGTCAGAATCGAATTTTACAATCTAGAGTATAATCTGATTCTGAAGGGAAAGAAGCATAAAGTAAAACATGCCCCTGCAACTTGTCAACCGTTTTCTTGCTCTTTTATCCGCTTTTTGATAGAATTGGCGTTGACAGCGACTCTGTAGCTCTTCCCTCCTATGAAATATCCCGTAAGCAATCGTCAGACTGTGCGTGAAACATGGCGACCTTCGTACTATCTCTTCACTCCGCCGAAAGTTTCCAAATTATATTCTGTCAATTTTGGCTTAAAGAGAAATTTTCTCGACGGTGCCGTGTAAACAAACCGACATGAAACTTAAACTTAACTCTTGATCGAGAATCCAAAACAACCGATTCAAATGTGAAGCAATCCCATCTGTCAAAACCATGGAAATGTTTTAGCTAGATAAAAATTATTTGTCCGAAATAGATTAGATACGAACCAACTCGTAAATTTTGTACGCGTGTTCGTGGCTAGGATAAATATTTTCCGCGAACACGGTGGCAGATATCAGTTTTACGCTTTTATCGGATATTTCTTTGTATGGTCATTGATATCGGTTTGCCGGTGGTGTGAAGGTGAATAAAAGTCGTGTTGAGACCAGTCTTGTAAGCGGTCACCGTAGTCAACCCATTTTCTGTGATAATCGACTGCCTTTGCTTCCGACACTTGCAAAACAAGCTTTCAAATTACAGTACCAAACTAAAATGTCATACGACAGGCTCTGTCATGCGACACTGTTGCCGAAGGCCGTTACGAATGTATGTATTTTAGTTTTTATCATAATAAGAGCAGCTGATGTTGTGCTTGTGTGAATTCTGAAAATAGCAAGCAACGATGTCCTAGTGATCAGAAATTGTTTAATTAACACCAAATAGAGGAATTAGAACGAAATCACATTTGTCATATGATAGTTATTTGATAATTTTCTTTTTGCTCGAATGTTGTTCTGCAGTTTGCGTTGTGTAAGAGAGACGACGCTCTCTTCCCCGTCAGCTCGATGATGATCAGGCCTTCAACGTGTTTATCAAAAAGCACGTAATCCATAAGTCGTCGTACTTGTCCGGCTTTTTAAGGAAACTACGGTTAAAGCGTGGCTTTCTTATTAGATTACGACACCACTGTACCGCCGCTACGGGATCACAATTGATCAGATCGCCATAGATGGTCTTGCAACCCCTGCAGTGGATCTTCAAATTGAGCTGGAAACCATTGCCGTGGATAATGAGACAGAATTGCTGCTTGGGCAACAGTAAACGTTCCTTTGGAATGAGGACAAATGCCTGGAGATTGCTCCCGCGTAAAACAGGGTTCCTCTGTCATTAATATATGACGAGCACGGCAAAGAAATAGCTTTTCCTGCCATACGTTTCGGCCATCTACGAAAATTCAAGCCAGGGGCTCGGGTGACATATTTCATGATAGCATCCAGTGAAACTCGTCGTCAAGACAGGCGTGTGGCCAAACCACAACATTTGTTGTATATGACAATGAAAGTTCTTCGCCTTAGAGGTTCCGAAGGCTTGCAATGCCCTTTTAAGTGCACGGGTACCGCAAACATTACACGTATCTAGCTTAAGGACCGCATTATTCATGGAGCAGTGCATTGAGCGAAATCTATCCTTCCTCAAAACAATACCGAATTCAGTACATTGGCAACAAAGAAAGAGAAATTTGTTCACCATGATGCGACAATTGGGAAAGCCTACGATGTTCCTCACACTCAGTGCAAATGAGAGGAGGTGGCACCATTTCAGTGCCAACATTTCAAAGGGGCGTAATTGCTTTTGTAAACAATGGCTTTAGCTATCGATTTCTCGCAAATAAAAGTCCATCCCTCCAAATTAACAATGCTAGCTGGTAAAGGAAACATTCATCTACCTGCTTGTGTCATTAATCTTCATTAGTAAGTTTTAATTCACGAGAAATCGACGGCTAAAGTCATTGTTTACAAATACAATTACGCCCCTTTGAAATGTTGACACTGATTTGTTGAATCTCCTACATCAATTGTCAGAAGGACACATTGGCAATGACTTAACAGATCCTATCCAGGAATTGATTGCACTACAAAGTGCAACTCTGGTCAATGATGATCCAGCCACGTGCTGTGTTTACTTCAACAAGCTGGTTGACACATTGAATTTTAGCACCGTGGAAGTCCTCTCACGCACATCTTGCTATGGCTGAACAAGGATCCCCGGGAAGCAATCAGTGAAAGTATGCCAAAAACTACAGGTGAAACAGTATCACAGGTGCAACAGGGCCACCAAGATTTTCAAAAAGAGTTAAATTTCTGAACATGTCCCTACTAAAATTCATATCAAAAGTTTCTTTTCAGGGGCAATCATAGTCATACTAAAAAGTATAATCAGAGAGAACCCCGATAAAATTCGTTTAATATAATATTAATATAAGTAACGTTTATTATATAAGACCACGTAGTCCGACGTCACCATTGCGTACAACCCCAGAGGGCTGTCCCTAGTAGGTTTTCAAAAGTTCTTTCATCGATTTATCATTCATTCTAAAATATCACTAAACTAAAAAAAATATCACCTTCAACTAAAAAAATCCGTAGAAATCCGTAGATTTGAATAAGTCTACGGAATTGCATAGAAAAAAATCTGGCATCTCTGGTTTCCAGTCAGTTTTCCGACGAATCTATACACGAGCGGTTGAGATGTCGAAGAGGAGCGTTCTCAAGGGTAAAATTGGCCTGAAGTCCGACTGCAGGCCTGGTCAGCCTGGACGGCCCGGACACGACACTTCCTATTTTCCTATTTCGATTACAGAATCAACCAACGCAATATCATTTTAAAGACAGAAAAAAACATTCATCATAACAACATTGCCGAAACCTTCCTGTATTTTTGTTTTAGTGATATTCCTATATCCATCCTAACCTAAGAGGAAGAGGAGACAATAGGGGGCCTTTTAACAAATTTTCTGTCAAACGCAAACCAGCGTCTGATTGGTTGGGTGAACGTATAGAAACGCGAGAATTTTTACAACAGGGAATCTATTTTCTTGCTTTTTGACAGTCGACTGCGTCGCCCATTGGCGTTGAGGGCACCGTCGAAAAATTTGCACTTTCAGCAAATATAGACAGTTTCTTATGGGAATTTTCGGTGGAGTGAAAGGATAGTACAAAGTCCGCCATGTTTCACGCACAGTCTGACGTTTGCTTATGGATTTTCTCATAGGAGTAAAGAGCTACAGAGTCGCCGTCAACGCCAATAAAGAAATAGTTTTTGCACGGTCGTTTCCGCGAGAAAAGAAGAACACGTCACAGACAAAAAGAAGCCAGTTGACTCCTCTTCCGCTTAGATCAAAACAAAAATAAGGGCAGTGAATAAAAACACGCACAACTTTACACGAGTCTGTGAGCAACATCAAAAGGTTCACTCCACTCTTCTTCTCACTCCATTTGGACGATGAATATGTATGCGACAAGGGCATTCGTTCCGTTCATTACATCATAGTTACAGTAACCCCTCCGTTTTGCGGTGGGTGTTACCCGAGACGGCTAATACATAGGTGTAACAGTCGGAAGAAGTGTTAGTTTGTTTACTTAAATGAACCATGCCCATTTTGTTATGGCATGTTTGCTATACGAAATGCGCCTCGTGTTTATTAGCGAATTTCACATCAAAGATTGATTAATTGAGTAGGAAATCAGTTTGGCACGGCATTTGTGACCAGCATACACCTTCCGGTAGTATGAAACAGGTCAAAAACTGTTCAAATCCGCAGATAAAATTTTTGTTTTGAATTTCTGTATAGCAAAATAGTGAACTTTTCGTGAACATTAACGGCAAAGAACTCACCAACACTGGGAGACTGTGAGTTCCTGCCCACCTGTTCATTTTCCATCGTGAGCGGGGCCCTGTTTACTAAAAATGAACACATTGTGAACACAATGTGTTCATTTTTAGTAAACAGGGCCCCGCTCACGATGGAAAATGAACAGGTGGGCAGGAACTCACAGTCTCCCAGTGTTGGTGAGTTCTTTGCCGTTAATGTTCACGAAAAGTTCACTATTTTGCTATACAGAAATTCAAAACAAAAATTTTATCTGCGGATTTCAACAGTTTTTGACCTGTTTCATACTACCGGAAGGTGTATGCTGGTCACAAATGCCGTGCCAAACTGATTTCCTACGCAATTAATCAACCTTTGATGTGCATTTCGCTAATAAACACGAGGCGCATTTCGTATAGCAAACATGCCATAATAAAATGGGCATGGTTCATTTAAGTAAACAAACTAACACTTCTTCCGACTGTTACACCTATGTATTAGCCGTCTCGGTCTCGGGTGTTACCGTCCACTCACCGACATTTCTCGGCTATCCTTAGACCAATTGAGCTTATTTTCTGTAGATAACTAATTTATGGTTAACACTAATCAAATACAAAAAAAACTAACCTAATTGGATGAAGAACAACCGAGAAATATTGGTGGGTGGATGGTACCACCCACCGCATCTATGTAGGGAATGCTGTTATAAAAGCTACAAGAAAACGTGCGTGCAATCTCATTTTAACGGGTACTTCGACGGTACGGAATTTTCCAGTATATGACCAACAACGTTGTTGTTGTTTTTGTTTACCTTCCCGATTCCCGAACATTCACGCGGAAAGTGCTCGAATTTAAAGAAACTGCGTATTTTCCCCTTCACTTATACGCACGACTCGATGAACTCCTCTCGTCAGTACAGGTCAAACAAGAGAGCATAGCGCAAGCATACGTTTCAAAGCGCAAAAATAAAACGCAAAACCAATTCAAATTCACACATGTGAAAATTTCTGTGAAAAAAGCTTAAATTAAAAGTGTTAAGTTCTGATAAAGCAGTGAAAATGTCTGCAATCGGTATTGACTTGGGAACGACATACTCCTGCGTGGGTGTGTTTCAAAATGGTAAAGTGGAAATCATAGCAAACGACCAGGGCAATCGAACCACCCCCAGCTATGTGGCATTCTCGGACACGGAACGGCTCATTGGTGAGGCGGCCAAGAACCAGGTGGCAATGAACCCGAGAAACACAGTTTTCGACGCCAAACGGTTGATTGGCCGCAAATTCGACGATCCAAAGATTCAGGCCGATATCAAACACTGGCCGTTCATGGTGTACAATGAAGGAGGAAAACCAAAAATCGAAGTCGAGTTCAAAGGTGAGAGAAAGAGATTTTCCGCGGAAGAAATCAGCTCGATGGTGTTGACAAAGATGAAGGAAACGGCTGAGGCTTTCCTGGGAAAGAGTATGAAGAATGCCGTCGTCACAGTTCCAGCCTATTTCAACGATTCTCAGCGTCAGGCCACGAAGGATGCTGGTGCCATTGCTGGGCTGAATGTGATGAGAATTATCAACGAACCAACGGCTGCTGCATTGGCTTACGGTCTGGACAAGGAACTCAAAGGTGAGCGACATGTGTTGATCTTCGATTTGGGAGGCGGAACATTTGATGTCTCCATTCTGACAATCAACGAGGGATCACTGTTTGAGGTACTATCTACGGCTGGTGACACTCATCTCGGAGGAGAAGATTTCGACAATCGTATGGTGTCACACTTCGTGGAAGAGTTCAAACGCAAGTACAGGAAAGACATCTCATCGAATCCCCGTGCTTTGAGACGTCTGGGCACGGCATGCGAACGGGCAAAGCGAACACTGTCTTCCAACACTGAAGCAACCATTGAAATCGATGCTCTTGTGGATGGAATCGACTTCTATACTAAAATTTCCCGAGCTCGATTCGAGGAACTGTGCTCGGATTTGTTCCGTTCAACACTGCAACCAGTTGAGAGAGCACTCACCGATGCCAAAATGGACAAGAAATCAATCGATGACATAGTTCTCGTCGGTGGATCGACTCGTATTCCAAAGGTTCAATCGTTGCTCCAGAATTTCTTCTCAGGAAAAGCTTTGAACCTGTCCATTAACCCAGACGAAGCTGTCGCTTATGGTGCTGCCATTCAAGCTGCTATCCTCAGTGGAGACAAAAACGAGAAGATTCAAGATGTACTGCTGGTTGATGTGGCTCCACTTTCTCTTGGAATCGAAACAGCTGGCGGTTTGATGACTAACCTTGTTGAACGCAACAGCCGAATTCCATGCAAGCAAACTAAGATATTCACTACCTATGCAGACAACCAACCAGGAGTGTCCATTCAAGTCTTCGAAGGAGAACGTTCGATGACCAAGGACAACAACCGACTCGGCCAATTCGACCTATCAGGCATTCCGCCAGCTCCAAGAGGCGTTCCTCAGATTGATGTCACATTCGATCTGGACGCAAACGGTATTCTGAATGTAACGGCCAAGGAGAAGAGTTCTGGACAGGAGAAGAACATCACAATCAAGAACGACAAGGGTCGATTGAGTCAGGCGGAAATAGATCGAATGCTAGCGGAGGCGGAGAGATTCCACGAGGAAGACGAAAAGATAAGGGAGTGCATCGCTGCCAGAAACCAGTTGGAAAGCTACATCTTCCAGTTGCGACAGTCACTGGAATCGGCCGGCGACAAGCTGAGCGACTCGGACAAGAACACAGTGAAGGACAAATGTGACGAAACGCTCCGCTGGCTGGATGAAAATGCCCACGCCGAGAAGGGCGAATTCGATCGCATGATGAAGGAGCTGAGCCGAGTATGCAGTCCGATCATGACTCGATTGCATCAGGGCGGAGGAGGATCATCAGCATCGGCGGGAGCCACAAATTGTGGCCAACAGGCGGGAGGCTTCGGTGGCCGAGCTGGTCCCACCGTTGAAGAAGTTGACTAAGTGCGTAGATTTTAAGGTGAACTAAAATCAAACTAGAGTATAAGTTCAGAGGCTTTTTCTTTCGCTAGAGTGCAGTAGAATGCTTAAGTGTTAGCAAGTTGTTTATTCGATACCTTGATAAGTTGCCGTTTAGATTGTAATCACCTGATATCAATAGATTATTGTCGTAGAAATTAGTACGGATAAGAATGAAGTTTCAAGCTTAAATCACCCTCTAAATAATCCAAGAAAAAAAAGTAGTAATAAATGTTTTGAGTTGCTCAAAACCAACTAATTGTCGTTCGTTTATTTATTTGAGGCCGAAATTGTCCACTTTCTCTGGGCATCTTTTCAATGTTCATCAGTTGGCAACTACTGGTACTGGTATGAAAATGAAAATGCAGCCGGGAAGCTAGCATTGAGTTATTCGTCCTTATCCCCGTTTCTGAGCGAAATAGATTTTCGACACACAAAATAAATGTTTTGAATGGAGAATCCAATTCTCTCGAAAACGGGAATAGTTTCAGGCTACTGGATGATGATATTCGTGCTCCTGAAAACGCAAAGTCTAGATAGAGCTGGAATTAGGGCATAACAGTTTTTGTAAACAATGACTTCTCTCGATGATTTCTAGAAACTCAAGGCTCGTCCAAGCAAATCAATATCACCATCAGGTAGGGGAAGTCGTCCCCTTCCCTGTGGTTATATTGGTTTGCGTGGGCGCGCATTGAATTCCTAGAAATCATCGAGCGAAGTCATTGTTTACAAAAGCTGTTACGCCCTAAGTACAGCTCTATCTAGAAGTAATGAAGCAGATGATTCGTATGCGCCCGATGCGGACGATGGGTGGTTCTCCCAGCAGCGTTGGTTCTCCACTACCTTAGTCCATGTCTTAAGGCTGTAGAGGATTACCGGTCTAATTACCGTTTTGTACATAGTCAACTTCGTGCTGTGGCTCTCTTCAACACTGGTCACTATATCCATATCGTTATCGAGGGCTGTCCATAAGCTACGTTTACGTATATATACGCTTTTTGTGGAATTTTAGACACACGTCCCTCCGCATACCTAGCCAGGTGTTATTAAGGGGGTATTCCCGATCTTTTTTTTCAAAAAATCAAATTTTTTTTTTTCACGTTTTTTTGTACTTTAGACTATATACTTTCATCCCCCCAAGCCGTTTTCCGATCAGCGAATTCGGTGTCCAGGCATAGCTGACTAATGGTAAGAACCCCCAAATGGTTTTAACTAAAGTCAAAACTTTAAACGCGTTTTTCTCGAAACCACATTTTTTTATCGGGCGAAGATTTTTCTCAGAAACTATAAGAGATATTGACTTGAATCTTTGCGCATTTTGTTCCTTATTAAATTCTTTGGAGCTTCTCCCACTTTCAGCCAAAAATATTAACATTTAACATTGTTTGAAGCACCTTAAAGCTGCAAAAAAGCGGGCTAAAAATCGCCTGTTTTTTCATATGGCCGCCATTTTGTTAATTTGCAAGATTTTTTGCTGCCAACGGGAGAAGCTCCAGAGAATCTTATGCAGATTATTAATTTCATCACGAAATCTGTTTCAGATGAAGCCGTTCCAGAGAAAAGTCTTCGCCCGTCCAGGCGTTTGCGGCGAACAGGGGTCTGTTTGCCGCCATTTTGTGACTTCAATAATGTCTTTTTTTATGTCGAAAAAAATTTATTTGTAAACTTTAATGTTCAATAAACAAGAATCCCAAAGAGTTAGGCGCATTACTATTCATTTTCCTTGAAAAAAATTAATTGAAAAACAGGCCGAAAAAAGGCAAAAGATTGGGAATACCCCCTTAAGTTAAGAAAACAAAATGGGCCGTAGACAATCGCCAACCCAATTCCCGAAATTAGAAACATTTTCTGGTACTAGTTTTCTAATAATCGTTGGCAGCGAACACAAAGAAAACACATCTGGGCTTTGGGACGAATATGAAGATTTCTAAACAAATGTTCCAATGTTATTCACAGATATAGTGCTCATTTTGTTGACCTAGATAAATATGTAGTGTTACAGTCTAATGAGAGATCTTCCTTAAATAAACGAGGCAAACATACGTAATTATTTGCTAGACAAGCGAACAAAGGTTTTAAAATTTTACGAAATCCCGATCATACTCACACCTCACAACGACACTCCCTGATCCTCGATCGATCCTCCGTTAACCTCACTTCCCCCGAAGTTACCGGAGTCTTCTGAACACACCCCACCATCGCAGACCGCGGCCTTCCTCTCAAGCCTAATCTTATCGCTTTTCATCTTTCGAACCGTACTCCGCATGGCACCCAGGAACTTGAGCAACGTCGTCTGGTCCTCCTTCACAAACAAGCCGTGAGCCAAGAAGGGCACCTTCCGCAGACTTCTGCCGCTCATCCCGACGCTCAGATTCGCTAGCATCTTCAAATTGTTACCCACCACCTTGTCGTCAGCTTCGGCCAGCGTAGGAATGTCGTCCACATCGGTTACGATGCCAACGTGTTGCAAATGTTCCAGTGCCGTTCGGTAAATCTCGTAGATGGCCTGCTGGTTCGGATTCCCAATGTACTGCACGATATCCGCCCGATCCAGGAATGCCATGTCAATGCTCGCGGTTAGGTTCGAAGTGGCCAGAACAAACACATTCGAGTACTTGCGGATTCGATCCAGCTGCGTAAGGACGGCGTTAACCACCCGAATACTATCACTCGGTTCGTTGTTGGAGATCGAATCCCGCGCGAATGCAATCGATTCTACTTCATCCACTAGGACGCACACCAGCGACGACTTATCCTGGCACAGTTCGTGAATCTGATCGAACACTTTTTGCACCAGCTTTCCGCTCTCCGAGAACCACTTCGAGAACAGGCTGTGGCTGTTGATTTCGACCAGATGTGCGTGGGTGTAGTGCTCTCTCATCCGAATGGCCAGTTTCTGTGCCAGAGCTTTGCATAGGCTAGTCTTTCCCGTTCCTGGAGGGCCGTGCAGCAAGATTAATCTGAAATAAACAATCAATCTCAAACACCAGCTCCAATTTCTGGAAAGTAAGAAAAACACCTACCTATTACAGGAAATCAGATTAACGTTAACATTCTTCCTGGCAAAGAGCATCGTCGTTTGCATGTAACTTAACAGGTCGTACTTCAGATGATCGTCGTAGATCAAACTTTCCCACTGGCCGTGGAAATCCCTCGCCGGAAGTAACCAATGGTTGGCAATCTGAACTTCGTCGCCATCCTGCTGGATAGTTTCCCCTTCGCAGGCTTCTTCATTCAGCAGATAGATGTGTAGCTGCAGATCCGTGCGTGGGGTTTGTTCTAAGATCTCATTACACACCATGATGCTTTCTACGTTGGCGTAGTCCACCCGAAAGACGTGATCCCTCGGCAGGGTGACATTTTCTCTCAGGTACAGGTGAATCGCATTCAACAGATCCGAGTTGGAAGACTTCTGGTTGAAACTAGAAATGCGGATGGGGACGAGAATTATTGCACGTTTACAACGATGGGAATGCGGAGGGCATACCCTTTAGAGCACGCAATTTCAACGTTAATCATTAGACTATTCATTTTACGGAGTTTTTACTTGAAAAACCACATTGAAAGAGGAACACAATAAATAGATATTCAGAACAACTTATGGCGGTTGCAGACCTCGCGGCAAGAATCAAAAATATGAGTTGGTGTCGTCGGTGTAACTTTAAATTTTCAAGAATTGTCAAATCTCAGACGCAAACCATTATACCACATATCACGGACGATGAGATTACTCAAAATTGAGTTAAATCCGGCTCAATTTGGCAAAAAGTGGATTTCTACACGCAGATAAATAAATATATCAGGCATAACATTTGATAACGGCACAAAAGCATTTGTAAACAAACTTTTAAAGGCCCTTTACATGCGAACCAAAGTACACGGATAGAAATCTCCTTATGCCTTTTGGCAAATTTCTGTTGCTGATTATTCATAAAATGTATAAGTCAACTAATAAGCAGACGCCTTGCAAAAAGTTAATGAAAACCATGTGCCAAATGAAATGTATAAGCGGTCACACATACCTTTTATCCATTCTTATAGGACCTATGTGGTTTGTCTTATGGGATGTATAAGGCTGATTTTTTGGCAAAAATGTATAAGTGAAACGCATGAATAAAATAATTGATTTTCGTTTCGTATACGCCCAAAACGAAAATTTTAGCAAAAATGATGACAAACAAAAAGCTGCAGTAAAATGTCATTGAGTGTATGCGTTAAAGTTACACTGTTATATTTTTAACTTTGAAGGTTTTCGCTTGACAGCTTTAGCTAAAAATTATAATAACTACACACAAAAAATAATCGTTAATAGAATTGAAAAAACCATTGGTAGAATTAAAAGTTTGCATTGGTTCTTTTTGGTAGAAAGTCTTGAGCTTTCAATATAAAAATGTGTTACCTTTCAAATCAAATGTTTCCCTTCTTGTTAATTTTAAAAGTTGCAAAATTAAAATCAAATTGTAGAACTGTCAAAATAATAACCAAGGTTTTTAAACTGACGTATGAATTGTTGCACACCAAAAGATGCTGGTTTCAAAGTAAGAATATACAATTTTAACATCAAATTAGAGTTATTTTCAAACAAATAGTTCTCATGACTGAAGAGAAAGTATCCAAACTCATATTTTTTTTATCATTTTCAATAATAATGTATATTTACCAATTCAATTAACAATTAAAAACAAATATTTTATGCAATCACCATAGATTGCTGCCGAGTTTTAAGATGACGACACTTTGAGAAACGGAGCCTTCATGATGCATTCCCAAAACCTTTCCAAGGATGGAGGTTCTTGTTAACTTGCTCATTTTCCCCAGTGGAACAGCCACATTAGATCCATTGTTTCGGCTGATACAGCGAGTTCATTCCATCAGCTTTACCGGAACGTTAACACAGGTGGTTTGCAATGCAGATCGCAGTTTTCTAAAATAACATTCAGTTGCACCAACCAATAAACTTGCAAATAAATATTACTGCTACTTACCTCTTTGAACGATAGTCGCTGCGTTTCCAAATCCTCCAGGATGGTCGAAATCTATTTCCACAAATGTCCTACTTCGGGAAAGCAGTCCGTTGGATGGGAGTTCTGTTAGGAAAATAATTTTCATAATAAACAAATTCGGGAAACAACAATGATTCCAACAGATTTTAACTTACTTTTTTTGTTTTTTGACCCAACTTTCTGCAGTAGACGGCTAACTTCGCAATGTAGTTTTGCCTTCCGAAAAAGGCAGCAAATGAAGGCTCAGTGCTGCCAGTGAAAACGTGCTATGAAGACATATTTTGGAAAGTTGAACAACTTTTCTTTTGAAAAATTTTACTTTTAGAATTACAAGTCGAAAGTGAGAGAAACACTTTCAATCCAGTTAAATGAGAGAAACACATAGTGTTAAATGTTTTCGTAGTTGAAACTACGGATTTTTGGAAACTTTCAATTTAAAAATGCATTATATTTATTGATCCAATTTTTGTTTTTTGTGTGTACCAATTTGAGCAATTTTTACACCAAATATTACTTCAGATCAAGTTGTACTTCCCCTAGATTACATCAATGGATGTAATTTTGTTCACAAAATCGATGTACATCGTACAACCAACAATCAATACGAAACTAACGATTTTAAATTGGCTCACTACTTGACTAGCCTATTGGTCCCAAGCAAACGATTAACGTACCTCATTCTAGTCGAAATTCTAGTACTACTCTATGTTTGTTTTGATTCTCTATGAAAGTTTGACAGATAAAATGAGGGATTATTGGTTTTTCCTATGTTTCAAGGGGTGAATCGATTAGCTTAGGACCGAAGAGAGTACCAGAGCTGAGCCAAAAAGTTGAACACGTTATTTCGGGACCTTCTAGTCTTAGAGTTACCTGCATGGTACAACCATAGAGGTAACTCTAAGACTAGTAGGTCCCGAAGAAAACTGCTCAACTTTTTGGCTCAGCTCTGGTACTCCCTTCGGTCCCAAGCTAATCGATTCACCCCTCGAAACATAGGAAAAACCAATAACCCCTCATTTTATCTGTCAAACTTTCATAGCGAATCAAAACAAACATTGCGTAGTACTAGAATTTCAACTAGAATAGGGTACGTTAATCGTTTGCTTGGGACCAATAGGCTAGTCAAGTAGTGAGCCAATTTAAAATCGTTAGTTTCGTATTGATTGTTGGTACAACCAACAATCAATACGAAACTAACGATTTTAAATTGGCTCACCACTTTAGTAGCCTATTGGTCCCAAGCAAACGATTAACGTACCCTATTCTAGTTGAAATTCTATTACTACACTATGTTTGTTTTGATTCGCTATGAAAGTTTGACAGATAACATCAGGGGTGTGTGGATTCATGCAGAACATGCAGGGGTGAGTGAAATAGCTTGGGACTGCTTGGGACCGTTGTTCTGGTACTGAGTGAGCCAAAAATAATAATGATTTTCTTCGGGACCCAGTGGTCTTAGAGTTACCTCTATGGTACAACCATAGAGGTAACTCTAAGACTAGAAGGTCCCGAAGAAACGAGCTCAACTTTTTGGCTCAGCTCTGGTACTATCTTCGGTCCCAAGCTAATCGATTCACCCCTCGAAAAATAGGAAAAACCACTAACCCCTCATTTTATCTGTCAAACTTTCATAATCAAAACAAACATTGTGTAGTAGTAGAATTTCGACTAGAATGGGGTACGTTAATCGATTTGCTTGGGACCAATAGGCTAGTCAAGTAGTGAGCCAATTTAAAATCATTAGTTTCGTATTGATTGTTGGTACAACGTTATATTACACAACCGATGGATTGACCTGGTTGCACCAGTTTGGATGTAATATTCAACAACTTGTGTCTGTGCTTTGTGTACCACCTTGTGTCTGTGCTTTTTGTGTTTCATACGTGTTGTTGGGTGTCGGAAGGTGTTTCTGGGTGTTTCTTCGTGTCGACGAAAAAATAAATTTAAATATTGTGTGTGGCAGAATAATTTCTCAAAATGGGATTATACCAAGGGGTAAGTCACTCAGCACATTATGCCGAAATTAGATTCGGCACAACTTGGGCACATCCATTGGCACAATCTCGTAGGCATGGGATTGTTGCAAATAAAATGGGAGCACTACTGGACAACTGTCATTGAAGTTGTTCACAACATTACGTGCTGTTTGACTGTATGTTCAAGAACATCCTTTAGTTGAATATACCAGAGGAACTCAGACCAGCAGTTCACTGATAGATCTAAATACGAAATGTAAATTCTAGAGTGAGCTCAAGAGCACTTAAACAGACCCCATTAGAGCAACCGTAACGGTACGCTGCTAAACTCATTTTAGCAGCCCTCATCATAGCGCAGCTACCGTATCGGGGTTGCCATACGAGTAACTAAAATAGCAGTCGGCTTCTCGGTGAGAAGCGCGTTACCAAATTTAGCAGCGCAATAGCAGCGCGGGAGAAAGGTTGCTATTCGTAGAAACGTCAAAATGCTCACTACCGGTACGGACTACGGCGAGTAAATTGATAACCGCGATAGCAGCGACCGGTGTGGAGAAGAGTGACTAAACTAAAACACAGAGAACAGACGTTGAAGCTCGATCAGAAACTGTTGAAAATTGCCACTTGGCGCTACTAGCGCTTAGTGTCTAGTGTAATTTGTGCAACGCCAGCGCCATCATGTTGTCAAAGAGGGTTTTTAAGTGGGGAAGTCGCCGTTAGTGGCGCTTAAGTCGAATAGGAATCTTTACACAAGTTTTTAGAGAAATTTTGTTCGAGCCTCCATGTCTGTTCTCTGTGCTATAGGTGTCATATTCATCATCCTCTATAGTCAGTCGCCAACAATGTTCCCCACCGGTTTCGGCAGCTGATAGACCGTTGTTTTTCTCATCACAAAAGGCCAGGCTTCTGGTCTACCTTTGAGGGCATTATAAAACCCTAAAACACAGGACTTTTATTATCCTATGAACACAAAACTCCAAAATTTTGCACACCCGCCACTTCCCGCGTCATCCTCAATCCGATTTATGCTTGCGATTTCAAACCAAAACATTCATGGTGTCATAAATACCGAGGGGGGCGACACATCTAAATCTCAAGTTTAGATGGTCAACAAATCTCGCACTAGCGAATCAATCTTCGAACAATCTTCTTTCATTTGTCGCATCTACTTGCATCGCTCATCAATTTTTTGCAGGAAATCTTCAGAATCGTCATCAATCTTCTTTCTATCTACTCAGCGTGCGCGCAGCTAGCCACAGCAAAACACAATCTTTTTTGCATCGTAGATAGAGTCGTCCCCCTCGATAAATACCGGGTTTGCTGGGATGGGTGTTTTACAAACAATCGCAGCTTGCTCTATGACCGGCAACATCGGCACACTTGCGGCACACATGCGGTACACTAACACAAAAGATGACGAAAGATTGGTGTGCGGAGTGACCTAGCCCTTGGATTATACCATCTATTTTCTGTTTATGACCGTTCCACCATAGAGGTAACTCTAAGACTAGAAGGTCCCGAAATAACGTGCTCAACTTTTTGGCTCAGCTCTGGTACTCTCTTCGGTCCCAACCTAATCGATTCACCCCTCGAAACTTAGGCAAATCCACTAACTCCTCATTTTATCCGTCAAACTTTCATAGCAAATCAAAACAAACATTGTGTAGTACTAGAATTTCGACTAGAATGGGGTACGTTAATCAAAGATGAATACTAAGATTAAACTTTCGGAAGAAAAACTTTCTATTTTGGTGTCATTTTTCACGGTCCCTTTCATCAAATGAGTACCCCCCGTATGCAAGGTAATTTTGTGGTTTTGCTGCCCCCTCGGTAGAGATAATATTTTGCGCACATTTTTATCAAAAGAATCACACCAAAATCAGTCAACATAGTTTACCCATTTTTGGGTAGGTTCAGTTTTGACCGATCTAGGTGGATTCTACCCAAATTTGGGAAGTTTTGAAATAACGTGTAGGGTAGGTTCAGTTTTGATCGATCTGGGTTGATTCTACTCAAATTTTGGTAGTTTGAAATGTAGTGTGCATAAATTTTTATTCAAATATAAGAAATGTCACTCACATATGAATGACATTTACTCATATAGATTGACATTTCGACAGTGAGCATGCATAAGGGCGAATACGCGATGATCGTGGGATGGGAGGATGGGAGTGACAAGTTGACAAATGAACAACATTAACATGAATCTGATCGACGTTGTTCATTCGTCAACTTGTCACTCCCAACACAGTTTACCCATTTTTGGGCAGGTTCAGTTTTGACTGATCTGGGCGGATTCAACCCAAATTTGGGAAGTTTTGAAATAGCGTGTGCGCTGATCGTTTCTGAAGGGCATCGGATTTTAGTACAATAAACACAGTGCAGCTAGTATCCGCTGATGCACAAAACAGCGCTGTAGATTCACGGCCGATGAGATTAACCTTGTGGCTCGAAGTTTACTCAGTTAATATGCACGGCCAATTGATATAACGAGTGCCCTTATGCATGCTCACTGTCGATTTTCTTATATTTAAGTAAACATTTACTCATCTATGAGCGACACTCGTTATATCAATTGGCCGTGCATATTAACTGAGTAAGCTTCGAGCCACAAGGTTAATCTCATCGGCCGTGAATCACAGCGCTGTTTTGTGCATCAGCGGATACTAGCTGCACTGTGTTTATTGTACTAAAATCTGATGCCCTTCAGAAACGATCAGGGAAACGTACACGCTATTTCAAAACATCCCAAATTTGGGTTGAATCCGCCCAGATCGGTCAAAACTGAACCTACCCAAAAATGGGTAAACTTTGTTGGGAGTGACAAGTTGACGAATGAACAACGTCGATCAGATTCATGTCAATGTTGTTCATTTGTCAACTTGTCACTCCCAACACAGTTTACCCATTTTTGGGTAGGTTCAGTTTTTACCGAACTGAGTGGATTCTACCCAAATTTGGGGAGTTTTGAAATAGCGTGCATCAATACAAATATGACAGCTCAATTTGAGCGCGAATTCCGACCTGCAGCCAGATGCAGTCCTTTTATTTTCTTATGAGATTCCGGTTGGAATCTGCTTTGCGTACAATGATCCCTAAAAAATAACATTTCCGTTACTCGTTGAATACTCCGGATTTTGTCAATGAAATTTCGTTTCGTGACCCGTGGGAGTTATTTTCGAACAGACCATCAGTAATGCACAACATTGGTGACTACCAGCGGATCGAAAAGATTGGCGAGGGAACGTACGGAGTTGTGTACAAAGCCAAGGATGTCAATACCCAGAAATATGTCGCCCTCAAAAGGATTCGGCTAGACAGGTAAATTGTGTTTGATTATGTCCATTGCGAATGGCTTTGTATTGTAGGGTTTTTCAAACATCTGACATGAATCCTGTTGCACCTTGAATTCCAGTGAAACCGAAGGCGTCCCATCAACTGCCATACGGGAAATCTCGCTTCTCAAGGACCTTCAGCACCACTCGATCGTCGAACTGTTCGATGTAGCCGTGATGGATTCCAGTATCTTCATGATCTTCGAATATCTGGACATGGATCTTAAAAAGCTGCTCGACAAATACAAATCCTCATTCACGCAGAAGCTGGTCAAGAGCTACATGCACCAGATGCTGGATGCAATTGCATTTTGCCACATGCACCGAATCCTGCACCGTGATCTCAAGCCACAGAACCTGCTAGTGGATCGAGATGGTCATCTGAAGCTTGCGGATTTTGGACTGGCCCGATCGTTCAATGTTCCGATGCGAACATACACGCACGAGGTGGTTACCCTTTGGTACCGAGCACCGGAGATTCTGCTGGGGACCAAGTTCTACGCAACCGGAGTCGATATCTGGAGTTTAGGATGTATTTTTGCAGAAATGATACTCAAGAGGCCGCTGTTTCCAGGAGACAGCGAAATTGATCAGTTGTATAGGATTTTTCGAACACGGGGGACACCGGACGAAACCAATTGGCCGGGCGTGTCACAGCTGTCGGACTATAAGCGAAGCTTTCCAAAATGGGATGGGCAAGCGGTGCCGGAGGAAATCGAGCGGTACCGAGCCAAGGATCTATTCGAGCTATTGATGGCGTACGATCCCATAAAACGTATCTCCGCTCGGAATGCCATGCAGCAGTCGTACTTTGATGATGTGGAGCTGGTGCCGCCGGGGATCTAGCCGTGTATTTGTAAAGGTTTGTAAAATTTTCTTGAAGTATTTCAGATTCGATACTTGATGGTCCTACCACAGACAAACAGACATAACACTCGCAAGATGTTCATCGAACAAGCATTTAACGGTCAATTTAAAAGTATCGTAGTTGGTAGTACCGCCACCTGTGGCGTGCATAGTCAATTCCCTTGCGTTTGACGTTTACACACTACCGCCATCTGTTCAGCGTACTACCCACCACAGTGTACTCAACAGATGGCGGTAATGTTTTAGCGACGATGTTTTACATTGAGAAATATTCAATGTTGTTTGTTTGTTGTATGTTTGTCTGTGGTCCTACCCCATCTAGAGCGGATGATGCGGTGCGATTCGCTTCGGCCACATTTATGGCTTTTAATTTCTAAAGATGACGGTGTTTAGCAATAACAAACAAATTTATCAGTCTCGATGAACATTTCAAATGGTCCTATCTGTTTTGATCGATTCTCTTCATCGACTTTCTCTTTTCATAAACACTGCTATGCAAACAGATTTCGCGCTAATTCTACCACATAGTTTGATAAAGGAGGTTCTTATCTAGCGCTAAAAACGTCAAATACAACAAAGAAAGGGTTTGCAGCTGAGTTATTGACTAAAAAGAAAATCGTTGAAGAGAATCGATAAATGCAGATAGAACCTTTTGAAATGTTTATCCAGAGATGGGACTCTCATTTAAACATTCTGCACTTTGTTTTTTTTTTTGCATGAAGATTTCCATTAGGATTCCGAAGTAATTGGCCAGATACCGTCTAAATAGCAATGCTATGGTTTCAATAGATATTTTAGGAATAGATAAAAGTTTAATACTGCATAGGACAACGTAGAGCAAAGCGTCCGGGTACATCATCATCATCCAGCACCCGTGAAGATCAGAGCATTATTTGTTCGGGTCATATTTACGGCGACCTTGCAGAATGTCTGTATTTGTCTGTATCAGGAGTTTTTGGAACAGTGTGAGCGTGGGTGAGCGGCGCGTCTGTATGAAAGTTATTTTAAAACAAGGCTGCTAATGCCCATTTCACGTAAAAAATATATTTTTCATAATAATTGCATTCACATTCAATAAGAAAGAAAAAATAAACACTGAAACCTGCTTTACGAGAAATTTGAAATAAAATCCTCTTCAAATTCATTCGAACCTTAATTCAAAGGTTAATTTCCTGATTCAAGGTTACCTGATCTTTTTAGTTTTTAATACTAAGCTCCTTGAATATTGTTAAGATTCCCTGGTCATCGTTAAAGTACTGAAGTTCCCCAAATTAATTGTAATTTTCTTAGATTCCAAAGAACTATCAATACTTCCTAAAAAATCTCCCAACTACTTTGAAGAACCTTTAACTACTCGAGGGTTGATTTGAACTTTTCTACAATTACCATAAGCTTTGTTTCTGAAAAGTCTTTCTGAGGTTCTTGGTGGGCGTTGGCCAAATTTGGATTTTTCAGATATAATCCTAAATAGGACCTAGATTATTTAATACTCTAGTAACCTCAAGTCCGTGCTCTGTCACAATGTTTCATTGTGATTAATAAACACTCAAAGGGGTAAAATATCAAATTTGGGGTGAATTTGAAAGAAAGGGAACTTGGAGTGTAGAGCGCACTGCCCACTGGACGATTCTGAAGCCTGGCCAAGTGAGTAGGGTATGGGTTTATTTGATTGAACGTCATTTCCAATGTATATATTGATACATTCAAACCATTGGCATTTGAGATAAGACAGAGATAGGATGCGGAGGGCCCGCTTAGGGGAAGCGTAACCCATGTTATGGTTTCCATTTATTAAATAGTTCAGATAGGCTGGAAATGACATTTTTTTTTTTTTTCCTTTGGTTTGTTTTTTTTCCGTCGATCTTGTTTTCCGTGCTGAGCACCAATGCTACCGACGTGCCAGGAAGGCAGCTCCCACACCTGGACCCTACCTATCGACCCATCAACTCATGAACCGGGGACCAACGGCTTTACTTCCCATCCGAAGGAAGGCGTGATCAGAGATGTTATGCCTCAGAACATCCCGGCGTCGCCGACTGGGATTGAATCCAGGCCTGCTGGGGTGAGAGGTAATCACGCTTACCACTACACCACCGGCGCCGTTCTGGAAATGACATGTTCATAGTGAGAAAATGTACCATATGGGGCCCGTTCACTGATCAAAATCAGATTCACATCGTCAGACCCTGCCCAAGAATAAGGGGATTGACGATGACTTGTCAAGTTTTATTTTGAATTTGCGTTTTGCATTTAATACTCTAGTAAATCTCGCGTCCGTGCTCATTCACAACAGTGTGAGGTGTCAATACTCACTGGGTCATATGTCTTAGACCAGTTCCAGATTAGTTTGCTATTAATATCTTCTGCATCGCAGTTCACGATAGATTCCTAAATATGGGTTCTCTTTTCCGACCATAATAGCAACAATCAATACGAAACTAACGATTTTAAATTGGCTCACCACTTGATTAGCCTATTGGTCCCAAGCAAACGATTAACGTACCCTATTCTAGTCGAAATTCTAGTACTACGCAATGTTTGTTTTGATTCGCTATGAAATGTTGACAGATAAAATGAGGGGTTATTGGTTTTCCCTATGTTTCGAGGGGTGAATCGATTAGCTTGGGACCGAAGAGAGTACCAGAGCTGAGCCAAAAAGTTGAGCACGTTATTTCGGGACCTTCTAGTCTTAGAGTTACCTCTATGGTAGTACCGCCATCTGTGGCGCGCTTAGTCAATTCCCTTGCGTTTGACGTCTAAACACTACCGCCATCTGTTCTGCGTACTACCTACCATAGTGTACTCAACAGATGGCAGTAATGTTTTAGTGAAGATGTTTTACAGTGAGAAATATTCAATGTGTTATGTCTGTTTTTCTGTGGTATAATTACCATGCATAGATATAAGTTAATGTACCAGAACCTGGACGGACACGAGCCTACCCAGGGGAGGACCCGAATACGACCACCCATGTGTGTCTAGAGTATCGCACGAGCTGACGAGTGCAACGGGAAGGGCAGTAGGTGTATAGACTAGGGGGTTAGTCCCTAGATAAGCCAACTTAGCGGTTGGCACAGCCTATACACTGAACAATTACAATTACAATTACAATTAAGAAATTCAGGATTCACATTGAACCGGCTTTGAAATTCACTTAAATATCCTTGACGTGGTGTTACATGGCTCTTTCTGAGAGAGGTTTTTTAAACTACAAAGTAGTTGCTTCGTAAAATTTTGCTGATCTTCTTCAAGTTCAGGAATTTTATGTATAATTTGCAGCACAAAACTGAAGTTTACTAAGTTCTCTGAGCTCATAAAATAACGGTGAAAGGGTCAGGAAAGTAAACAAGAAAATACTGCGAAACTTGTAGAACTATTGAGAGGTTTGACGAGCACAAGTAGTTTTAGCGATTTCGAAGATCTTATAAGTATTTAAGAGAGGATCTGCAAACTTCAAAACTGTTAGGAGGTTTGGAGTGGCTCAGAAAGCTTCGGCGACGTGCTCCGATCGAGTACATACACGGGGTTTGGAAGTTTTGTGAACCTCTCTGAGCATATCTTGCACTTTTCCAGAATTTTCTGATCTTTAACGAAGTGTCATATACTTCCATGAGTAGCCTTTAGTTTTAATGAGATTTTCTGTTCCCAGTTTTTTTATGTTCCTTGAATTTTTTGGGTTCTCTGGGTATCGTTAAAGTACTGAAGTACCGTAATTTCCTGTAATTTTGAATATCTTTCTAAAGGTTTCCAATGCATCCTAAACTTTTATCTTAACATTTTTAAGAACCTCAAACTATGTTATGACTAATTTGAACTCCTCGAAAATTACAGTAACATGCCTGATGATCATGTGAGCCTTTCTGAGTTTCCTGAACTTCTTTAAATTTCTTCCAAACTTCTCTAAATGTACCCTGAATCTATCTGATATGCCCTAACCCACAATATTTTTTTTCTTTATATAGGAGATTTTCAGCCGCAGGCTGGTTCATCTTCGGTCAACCCACAATAAAGTTCATTGAGCTACTTTCAATTTTGTAGAATTTTCGAAGTTCATTGACCATATTCCAAATTCAGGAAATCTCGAGAAAATTAAAGAAAATGTAAATATCAATAAATATTGTGGTATATTTAGCGAACTCTCTCAAAAATTTGCCAGACTTGCATTTAGACTTAACTCCTTTGAAATTCACATAAACATCCCTGAGTCATTCTGAGATTTTTCAAACTACAATGAAGTTCCTTGGGCTTCTCTAAATTTTGCTGAATTTCTCTTAAACTGAAGACAACATATCAGAAAGACTGGCAACTCTTCTATTTGTCATGATGTCTTCACTTAAATCGAAGACACCATATCAAGAAGACTGGCAACTTAACCAGAATCCAAGCGACAGATACAATAGCGCTGCTCTTGAGAGAAGGTGTAAGCAACGAATAGAAAAATTAGTCAATACACAAACCTTTCTTCTGAGGATGTAATCTTAGCTATCAAATTCATTCGAATCATTTACCTTTGAGTGACGATCGTCACCATTTCATGAATAATTGTAAAGATGCTAAAAGTCTAATCGCGAAGTATGAAGATCTTTCTCAAAATATTGCTACCAATCGTTACCAATGTTAAAATATCGATTGTGTTGCCAGATCAAAATATCGATTTCTGTTGTAAAATCAAAATATCGATACACAACTGCTGATTTTATTTGTGATTTTTTATCTGCATAATTTCTAGTTTCGATCCCATGCCATCTGGGGTGTACTGATTTCGTTGTTGGTTGCTAATCCTCGGGTCAACGGCTGCTGTTGATGAGCTTATCAACGACAGGCAAACACACTCTAGTATGTGGTGTATTGAAATTTTTGTAAATCTTTTCATACATGAATTCAATATTTATATGTATGTCAGCGCTGGGCTTTGCGAGCATCTGCGGAGTGCTGCTACGCACGTATGCTTATTCACGGATCACAAAGCGCTAACAGCGCACATTTGCCTTCCCCACCTTGGCCGTGAACAAGGACGCGGTTACTGGTCCCTCCGCCCTCACCTCTTAACCGCCGAGAACTTAGAGGAATTCCAAGTGCGATGGCAGTTTTGGACCTGCCAACGGAGAAATTTCCCCAGCTGGATGACATGGTGGCTCTCATGCGCGAAGCCAAAAATAAAATCTTTTTTCCGATGGAAGTCAAGTGAAGTTTTCAGGACTTTCAACGCAGAACAACAACGACTCTACGAGCAATTACGACTCGCATATGATGGCTATTACCAGAATCCCACCATGCTGGTGACCATCAACCGCGTAAAAGCACAAATGCTCACGTTGCAGCGGCAATTTGCGCAAAACTTCATCCGCATCAACGAGACGTTTATAGCCGGCGAGAGCATATCCACTTTCCAGTTGGGTGATAGACGACGTAAAAAACAATCATAACAGGACTGCAGAACGAACGAGGAGAGCAAATACAAGGCTCTCTGGAGATCGAGCAACACATGTTTCGATACTTCAGGGACCTGTATGCGGCGGAAGAGACGAGGCAGGTGGGGGAAGAAATGTTCGAAACTGAGAGAGCCGTACCCGAGAATGACGAAGCCAACGCAGCTCTAATGGCGGAGATCAGCATTGACGAGTTGAAAAACTCCATCCGAACGTCGCAAAAACGTAAATCACCGGGGATCGATGGTTTGCCGGTAGAGTTCTAGCTACGAACTTGCGACGTCATCTATCGAGAGCTCTACTTCGTTATTAATGAAGCTATGACGAATGAGCTCCCATCTGAATTCGCCGATGGCACTATTGTGTTCGTTAAAAAGCGAGGTGGGGATGGGACAGCAAGAGCATACCGTCCGATCAGCCTGCTCAACGTCGATTTTAAAATCCTCTCCCGCGTGATGAAGGCCCGCCTGTAACGAGTACTGCGGATCCATCGAGTCCTGAGCGCCTCTCAAAAATGCGCAAAT